TTTTTCTCTTCTAATGAAAGTTTCCAATTTATAAGACAGCTTAATTAAAATTTAGAAGAGAGGACTGGGTTCTATTTTCAAGTGGGCTAGTTGAGTTCTGCCTCACCTTAAATCTATTACTTATCTTTCCTAAGCACTGCTCTCAATAACTGCCCCTGTAGAATGTGTAATATTAATAAATATAACTGCTCTATACATAGCACTTTAAAATTTATAAGGCACCTTCTCTATATTATTTTATTTGAGCCTTATATCCACCCTTTGAGATAAGTGTTATTATTATCCCCATTTTATAGATGAGGAAAATGAGGTCAAATGACTTCCAGGGGCACCTAGATAGTGGCCATAGGGAATTTGATTCCAGACCTGCTACACCATGCTGCCTCATGTTTTAAATTGGTACAATAACTTAACTTCTCATCGTGGTGCAACCTTAACATTGATAGTTTTTGGTATGAGTGAAGATAGGAAGGTGACATGGAAAAGGATGAGTAATTAGGAAATAATTTGCTTCCTAGTATTTAGAGTATATGTGGACAACAAAGTAAAATGTAGGCCTCCCTACCTGACTGAAAATAATAAAGAGAAAAAGCCAGAGTGTGTGTGTGTGTGTGTGTGTGTGTGTGTGTGCGTGTGTGTGTGTGTGTGTGTGTGTGCGCGTGTGTGTGTTTAAACAGCAGATGGGAAATTCTTCTTCTCTGTATAATTAGCAGTTGTGGGTCTGTTAGCAAGCTGGCAGAAAGACAGAGAACATAGAGTTTGCCCCTTCAGCTCTATCTTCAACCCACTCCAGTCATTTATTCACTGTTATCAGGCTGGGCTCCCAGATGAGCCATCTGCCTATAGCTACAAACCAACCACTGGTTTAACCAGTTATCAGTCCCTTTAGGGCCCAAGGACCCACAGACAATGCTAGTGAGAGGAGGTGTAGGCATCTTTGTCTAACACCTGGGAGTTTTAATTTCCAGTGCTATCCCCACCAATACCATAGTATTACTGTAGTCATGGACTTTATAGGGACCCTGGTTAATTAACATCAATTATTCAATAACATGAAAAGATATCCCAATTAAATGTCTTCACCCTATTTGATAAATCTTATTCTGCATGTATTTCTCAGTTAAAAGTAGTATTTTTTAAATGAAAGTTACTGTATCTTTTAGTATTTACAAGCTACTATTTTTAGTATTTTTTTTTTGCATTTTGTAGTATAATATCTTTTAGTATTTTGTGAGCTAAAGACAAATAATGTCTTTATGATATGCAACACTGAAGTCCCAGAAAAACTGAATCAGAGTATCACCCAGAGGATAATGCATGGTTGCAACACATTGCAAACAAGGAAGCACAGATGACATTTAACATAAAGAATATCATCAAAGTAATATATAAGCAAAAAACACAAAGAAATATGTATTGACAGATGGGTAGAGGTGTGGATGGGTTGTGATCTCTATTCCAGGAAGGAATATTCACATTAGTGTTCTCATAAAATCACATTTGAGTACATTTGTGAGAATTTGTAGATAGATACATGTGGTCATAATGTTTCAGGCAGCATTTTAAGGGCTAAAAGCAGGATTTTCTAATCCCTTTGATCAGAGTAACCAAATTATTAGACATTAATAGTGTTTATGAAATTTGGTCAACAGTGCCCTGTGTAATTGCAGCCGTCTTTGTACAATCCCAAATTTAGTGTCATTCAAAAGTGGGTACTTTGTGTAATACTCATTTTATTGCTAAATAAGTTTATTAAATACTAAGTAATTAGTGATGCTTTAAAATGATCAGAAATTGGTTCCATTGTTACCCAAAATTCATCTGTGCAGGTATAATCAGCTGAGCAGGCAATCATGAAATATTCCTAATAGCACTTTGTAAAACTTAAAGCACAATATAAATTCTACCTATAAATATTTAAAGAATATATTTATTACATTATTACTGTTGTTGTTGTTATTGTTATTATTGCCAATATGATGTGGCTATCCAAAAGTATGATAAGCTACCTCGGGAGATGATGAATTCCTTTTCACTAGAGGTCTTTATTAGCAGCTAGATGGTGTAGTGGTTAGACCATCAGGTTTGGAATCAGTTCAAATCCATCCTTAGGTACTTAATACCTGTTTGACCCTGGGCAAATCATTTAACTCTATTTGCCTCAGTTTCCTCTTCTATAAAATGAGCTTGAGAAGGAAATGGCAACCCATCCAGTATCTTTGTCAAGAAAATCCCAAACGAGGTAATAAAGAGTTAGTAATGACTGAGGTGAATGAACAGTAACAATAACAAAGAGATCTACAAAAAAAAAGGTTTCTTGAAGTTCAGCTTTAGTGACATTTTTTTCCCCCCACAGGTTGGACTAGATCGAGGATTCTTAACATGTTCCATGTCATTTGGCAGTGAAGCTGATGGACTCCTCAGAATAATGCTTTTGAATGCATAAAATAAAATGCTTAAAATTACAAAGGAAACCAATTATATCAAAACATGATTTCAATTTTGCAGATAAGCTGGGGTGGAATGCAATAAACATGCAGATGAGTAAATCTGAAGTTCTTTGAGAAGGGAGAGAACAGTACCAGTAACATTTAATCAAGGGAGGCTATGCAGAAGAGCCTTGAATGAAAACAAGGATGCTGAGAGGCAGAGATGTGGAAGGTGTATCTTCCAGAGTTGGCTGGGATATAAAGATGGACAGACTAAAATCAAGGATATGATGTGGGAATGAGGAGTATCGAGCATAACTAGCAAGTAACTTAGGCTGGAATATAAAATGAAAGGAGGCAGGAAGAGTAAGTGAAATATGATGAGGAAGATAAAACTATGTAAAAGTCCTGTCCCCATCCAGAAGGTCACAGAACCATTAGAGGATCTATGAGGTCTTCTTCTTACTGAACTCTGAACTGGTAACTAAAGATTGAAAGAGATTGAATTTTAGTAGTTTATATGTCCAATATCTCCTCCCTACAACAAAGGGGAAATAGACTATCACAACCTCATAATCTATTTCTGAAGTGGAAAAAGGCTCACTTTCTCTAAGATACTGCATGTACCAATTATCTCTCCAGGTCTTCCTTCCTACCCTGGAGGACCTACAAGAAAAAGCCAGTGTGACCCAGAGAAAGGAAAGAGAGCAGAGGGATAGAGCCAGCAGCATGCTCTGCCTGTGATTATGTGGAGAATGCGCATCAGGTCCCCTGGTACAGTAATATGTGTAATATTGTAATATGGTGTACTTTGTATTATGCTGGGAAGTAAACCCCTAGCCTGTGAAGACTATTGAATACTGAGCTATTTGCTCTGTGTGGCTAAGGAATTAAGGATATAGGTGTTTGTACACTTTCCCAACTAAAGCTGCCCTGAAATCTTCCAGCTTGAGCCAATACTTTATGCCAAAAGTACAGACAGTGCTAATCATGAGAAATGTTAGAATGCTCTTAAAACCCTGATCTCTTAGAAAAATTATGGTTACTTCTATAAGCATTAAAAAAAACCTTAATGTTATTTCAAAAGAAACAGATGTAAGTCACTACCTCACCACCCTCAAAAAGGTTTTTTTTAGAGCTAATTCCTGTTAGAACCAGTAACACGAGAGGGATAGTGACTGAATCTTTGACTTTATTGACATAGGGAACTCCCATGTAAGAACAATCTATCTTTAATGAAGGTCAGTAATGTGTCTGTAACTTATAGTCTTACAGAGTTGACTACGTCCCTGAGAAACTAAGGGACTTGTTCCAGTCCACACACAGGCAGGATGTGTCAGAACTCGGTTCTTCTTGACTTCAAAACTAGCTCTATCTACCATGTCACACTGCCTCACAATATCATAAAACAAACAAAGAACAACACATGATGATCTAACTCATTTAGAGCACTTGTCAACACCCCCTATAGTACACATTTTCATTGATAATAATTTATAGTATAATAGCAAGAGTAAGTATTATTTTGAAGTCAAAGGCTCTCTGAATATAGATCAACTATAAGTTTCTGTGTATGCTTTAGACACATGAAGAATAAAGTGTTGAGAATCTTAACCTTTCAACCATACCCAAGCTGGGGTCTTCTATCCTTCTCTGAACCTATTATGAAAGTTTTCTAACCCCAAAAGTTTGAAGAGGAGCCTCATAGGGAGCTTATAGGCAATGGTGCACCAGACATGTACCAGACATGACTTTGACTAGACTCCATTCTGCTATCTTTAGGACTGACCAAATTATTTCCTGAACTTAACAGAGAATTAACATGACCTAGACCTAGACATAATACAAATGTGGCCCGGATTTCATGTATTGATTCAGTCTCAGCTTAGAGTCAAGCTTAAGAGATAGATTAATCAATCTCCTCTATGACTTTAGGGGAAAGAACTCATGTGACAAAATTAATTATAGCAAATTAAATTTGAAGCATTAGTTCCCTGGTGCATCCTCATACAGAAGCAGAAATGACAAAGTACCAATCAAAGAAGGAGCATACATGTTAGATAGATTATAACTCTACTATCCATTTTGGATCTAGTACTTTAAGACCATTATAATTTTTTCTGTTGGGATGCTGGAATAGTAAGCTCAATATTATCATGGAGTTAACATTTGATTCAGACACAAGACTATCCACCAACATTAATTAGAACAGTTTTCTCAACTTTAAATAGTACTTTCTAAGGCCATTCCTTATAACTTGTAGGGCCAACCCAAAGACTGAGACACCTACTTCAAGAGGAAATAGCATTTTATAAAGAGATAATTAAGAAAATGCCCCAATTTAAGCATTTCTTGTTTCAATTATGTTCTAGATATAAGACAATAAAGTACAAGCCAACATGAGAATTCCCCAGGCAATTTCATATGTGGTGCATGTATTTGTAGTACAGTTGTTACCAATTACCGTCTTACAACAACCTTTTAACAGATGAAAAAAGGGAGGAAAATAAAAGAGATTAAGAAAATAAAGAATTTAAAACCAACATAAGGAGCTATAAAATAATATCTTACCCTAAAAAACTCTTTTGTGGAGCCAGAGTCTAATGTTCCATAAGCAATTTCTGTTTGCTTGGAAAGATCCTCAGCACTTTCAATGGGAGACACCATCCTCTCTACGGTCAGGAAGGCAGCTAAGTTAGCCGTGTAGGATGAGATTATGATGAGGGTAAAGAACCACCACACACCTCCAACAATGCGCCCAGACAGGGATCTAGTAACAAGTATGAAATGGATTTGTAAAAATGAAATGAATGTCCTAAGAAAAAGAAAAGTTATCAGTTTTATGCAAATACTGAATTATAATATCAGAGGCTATGTCAGATCATCCTTTTTTTTTGTTTTGTTTTTGTTTTTGTATCTCTGCTTGTTAATGAAACCAGAAATTATAAGGTTTTAAGAGATGGGAGGTAAACAGCTCAAGGAGCTTTTCTAAGAATGGCAAATGTCCAGACTTCAAACATCAGTTTGCTTTGCAAGGTGATAGTGTCCAATTCTTCAGTGTTGTAAGGTCCTGAAAAGAAACTTTTCAAATACTTTGTGAAATTAATGCACCAAATGTTGATATTTTTCTCATTCAACTGTCTATGTACAATTCAAAGAAAAATGGATGATAGAATCACAGAGACAGGAAAATTCAGATCAAAACTAAAAAATAAAATCAATTAACATACATACAAACAGATGCACAACCTCTTGTGGCTTCAACCTGCCTTGATTTTTGGAGACAGCTAGGGAAAGAATAGAGTCAATCAGTCAAGCAACCTTTCACCTAACTGAGAAGAGTACCATTTGACCAAAGAATACCCTGCTTCAGTTGCTAGAAAAATGTTCCCAACTACCAAACTCTAAAGTGCTTTGTGAAATGTAGCCACTGAACATAACTCAAGAGAGGAAATGAAGGTAACTTGTCATTACAAACAAAGGATTAGGAAAAAAATGTAATCCCTATGAAGTATCTGATGCTTTAATTCAGCAGATAAGTGGCTCTGAACTTTTTTTTTTCACTTCCTGCTTAAGAAAAAAGAAAACAGAAAACTCAAGGAAAAACATTGCCAGAAAAAAAATAAATCATTTTAAAACACAATAAAAACCAAAACTGCTTCAATGATAAATCAGTTCTTAATAATACAATAAGGCTTTTCAAATTCCTAATGGACTTTGAAACCATCTCTGTTAGAAGAAGGCTTATGCAAAGATTGCAGTGTGTTGCAAAAAATGAGTGAAAAAATGAGATAGGAATATGAATGTATATGAGGTATGTGATATCCCTTGGTCACTGATATAGCAACTCTCATCACTGTTTTTAGGAACTATGCTTTTTCAAACAATTAAGCCACTCTTTAGTCGAATCTTTTTTTTAAATTTTTTTTTCAGTTGAAGGCCCTTAAAAAAAAAACAAGAAAACAGGTAGATTCTTCAAAATATCACTCTTAACTCCCTTTGTGGACAAACCTATGGAGAACACATTCCTACTGAATCAAATTCTTTGCTGAGAGCCCTTGCAAATAATCAGGGATTTTAATAGTTAAATTATAAGAAGAGGATTAAGAAGGGAAGAAAAACTATGTAACAATACATGGTGGGAGGAAGAAAAAAATAAATATTAGCCAGAAATCACCCTAAATTACCTTTATGATTAAGGTATAAAGAAAGAAAAGATAAAGTAAGTATGATAGAAAAACAAAAGGAAAATGCTGGATAGGGCAGTCCTAGGAGTTGTTCTATTTATATTACAGAAGGGATTTTTCTTTTAAATTTTGGGAAACTCCTAATTTGGAAAGAGTTACTTTTTTTAAGAGACCATTATTTGCCCCTTAACAACTGAAGATTTAATTATATGGCAAGTACCTTGTATTTAAGAAGGCAGATACAGTACCTGGTTATTAGCATCCCTTAAAACAAAGCTCATAGTGCAGGGTAATTTCTTTTGACTTTATAGCCCCACATGTAATAGTCAATATATTACAGGAATAAAAATATTTGGTTCTGTTCCCATTATAAAATGCTTTAAGACATCACACTTGCCTCTCACGGTGGGGTGTTTGTGTGTCATATGTACTGGAATGATATATGCTGGTTTGATGTAAACAGTTGTCCAAAATACTTCAGGAAAAATAGAGATTTGATCATTTAAATTATTTTTTTTTCATTTTCCTGGTTCATCCATTAGTTCTATTCAGCTATTAGTTCTATTCTATTAGTTTTCAATATAAGAATGTGATTTGATGGAGGAAATAAAAGAGTGGTCAATGTGAAATAATGTGAAATGTGAAAGCATTGTAAAAGCAATGTGAAAACAATATCGTCTTTATTCTCTAAAATAAATATCATTGTAGGAATTTTCACTAAATGTGAAAAATAAAATAAGCATATATACAACATGCTTTTTTTAAAATTTTCTTCATTAAAATGGAAACTTCTTACATGTTGGGCTTCTTTTGTTCAGACACTTTGTATCTCCAGTTCCTAGCACAGTACTCAAAAGCCTATTAGACACTTAATAAATGCTCACTGATTGAATGATTCAATAATTGTTCTGAGTGAACATGAATGTGCATATGTATATATAGTTATATGCATGTGTGTTGTATGTAAATCATATACAAAATTATCAATGTACACATGTACATATACATACACATGTATATATCTAATCCATGTGATTTATAATTTATATTTTAAAAGCATATATAATAAAATGTATGCATATATGTGTGGAATTCATATGTATGTGTGTTTGTGTGGGTATGTATACATATATACATGCATACATATGTATGTATACACACATACATACATACATGTTTTTCAAAGGCTGTGTGTGTATATATATACCTGGAATTAACATCTATGGTGGTGGTGGTGAACATCTATGATATTTGCCATTATAGGAGTCCTGTTGCACAACTATAATATTTGCTACCATGAAGACTGAGGACAGTAAATGACAAATTTAGAAGTACTGAGTTGCAGTAGATTAATTTGATTGGGTGTCCACAATAAGTCCAGCACCAATACAGTAATCCATATTGAGTAAGGGGCCACGAGGCTGCCTAAAAAGAAGCAAATCCACCCAGGTCAGAAATGGATCTGGTCAAAACTCCTGTTCCAATCCATAGTGGGATCAGGTCTGTAAATGGCTGCTGCACTTCTAGCCTGGGCAAGATAGGGAAACCCAGTATGAAAAACCGATACACAAACAAAACAAAACAAAACAAACAAAATGCAGGGAAACTCAGGAAGAATAGACCACCTTCAGGAAATCTTTCCTTTCATTTCTGTGTTTCAATTCTTCCGAAGGGTGAAGGAAAACCTAATATTAAACTGAGAGAAAAGGTTTAATTTAGCTAATTCAACAGATCATTCAGATATGACTAGGTTTCAGCATGCTCCATTAAATAATAAATTAGATAATATTTATTTTATATTGCATTTTACTTGTTTCACAAATTGATTTTACATTAGAAATATTTTGGTGAAAGAGATGATAAAGAATTTACCATCTCAAATATTAGCATTTTTATACACCCTTTTATTGTTGATATTCCATCCTTATCTCTCTTCCTAGACTCAAAGAATTCACCGAACAGCTCTGAATCCTCATTTCACACTGAAAAGTTAAAAGTTTTGACTTACTTAAAATATTTCTACTCACAATCACCATTTCTCCCCATCTTTACATCACATACAACTAAAAACAATAGTTGTGCAGAGGTACCCAAAGATACAAATGGGTTCTTGGAAAATATGCCTGTAAATTGACTTTCTGTAATATGAATTCCATTTTCACATTGCCAACAATGGGCTTTTGGAGATGCTTTCTCAAGAAACAATTTTGAGCCCTAAGATAAATAGTTTGTTTGGTTTCAAGACAGTCCTTGTCAGTGATAGGTAACAAGAAGTCTCCACTCTGTAAAAACCAGTAAATATGTTAAGTATATGTACATATTCACATGCCCATTTACCATAGGCACTATCCAAGAAATGAAGATTTGCCAAAGAAAGGGGAACATTTCTATAGCATCAAGCAGGCCTCCAAGCCAAGATATCTATCCTCCTTTCTGGTGTTCTTTCATAGTGCCAGGGTTCACCTCATTCCCCATGTCTCTACAGGTAGATTTAAGATTTCAGCTCTGTTGACAAGCAGTCTTACCACCCCTACTAAGAAGCAGGAGCCAAAATAACTACCCGCCATGGCTTAGTACCTGAGGATAAAGGCCATGTTTTAACACCAGGACCTTTCCATAAAATAGTAATCCTTTAATTAACTGAGAGTATCACAGTGCTTTTGTAATAAGCAAAAGGAGACTTATAGTCCTCAATCATCAAAAAATTTAATTGATATAGGGCATAGAGTAACTCATTTGTCTTCCTTCTAAGTTCTGAAGGTGTTCATATACTAAGACATGCTCTTAAACTAAATTAATCAAACTATCTGCTCTGGAATTCATAAATGTGGTTCTTCATAGATTTAAGATAGGCAGAAGTATTTTCAACAACCGGACTATTTTAGAGGCATCAAGCCATAGGACACCTGACTCAATTATTTGAAATTGAGTAGATTTGTTCCTTTCATTTTTTTTTGTACAATATATTTACCAATTTTCCACTGCCCTGGAAAATTAAAGTATGGCTGGGCATCATGTCATATCTACTTTCCGTACTTCTATCACTTTCTCTTCTGGTTTTTGAAATCCAAGCACATATACTTTAGAGTTAATTTACCTCCTAAAGAGGTAAGAAAAACAATGAATTAGGAATATTATAAAAAAAAAATCCATCCCAAGGAAAGAAAGGACTTCCTATAGATAAAAGCCCTAAGATCTGACTACTCAGCTAAATAAAAACTGGCCTTCTACCTCAAGACCAGGCAACCATTACTTTTCAGTGACCCTTCTCTAAGGCCTAAATCATTCAGGAAATATTAAAATCAACGTGTCCGAAAAAGGGAGGTTCATAAAACCCAGTTGAGTAGTTGATTGAGATTATCTGAACTGGGTACTTCTTTTCTTCCTCTTCCTCAATTTAAGCCACTTCTTTCTATTAAAAACCTGGGTGAATGAAATTTGGAAATGAAGCGATCCATTTATTTGATACACCAAAGGTCAGCTTAATGGCACACAGTGGTCAACCAGTATTTCCTAGTCCCTGTATTCTGGTACAACCATAAAAATAGGAAATGATACAGATACTGGACCAAAGATTCCAATCCTCTGTGCTTTATCCTTACTGACACAAATTAGCCTTACTGTTAAGGAAATATCCACAAATCCTTTTTACTTTTACTTCATGAGTTATTTCATTCTATCATTGTTACTGATATACAATCATAGAATCTTAGAATTGGAAAACATTTCAGATGTCATTTAGTGAAACTATTTGTTATCCAAGATTATTTCTATCATGCTGTTATAAATATTTTGAAAAAAAATTCCATATCCACAGCTGACTACAGAATTAGCACTAATTCTAAAAGGCATAATGTCAGATTGGCATACCCAAAGGTGCCTCATCAGTTCTTACATCCCAACTCATTCCTGAGATGTACTATCCTAGAATGTAATGCACTAGTATATATTAGGACCAGAAATTTAGAGCTTGAAGAAACCTAAGAGGTCACTTGTTCCTACCCTTAGCATTTTAAGGCACAGATATCACTATAGTCCTAAAGTCTCAGGAATCATGAATAAATATGCTTTATATTAAGGATATATTACATCATTATAATGAAGACATATACAAATGATGATTAAAAAAGACAAACCCTTTTTCTTAGGGAGGTGGTTTAACTAATAAGCAAAGCATTGAAACAGGTCAAGGTAAAATAAAAGTATACCAGCTGCATGATTGTTATATCATATAACTAAAACTGGAAGGATACTGAGTCATTCCTCCATAATAGAAGATTGTTGCTCTGTTCTACTTCTTATTTAAGTGTACAATCTGGTAATTTATTTTTTATTTTTACAGTATAACTTCATTCATTTAATTGGATATGTATATATGTACATAAATATATATATGTCCAATATTACCAGATTCAGTAAAAATACTATCAAGAGTACAAGTTTCTGAATTGATTCCATACTATGCCATTCATGTGTTTCCCAACATTTTTAATAAATCATCCTTATTGTGGCCCTGGTAAATTTCCCTAGATTCTTGGAAATTATTGTATACCACTTTTTTTTTTTAATTAACAACCTAAGTTTGCCAAGTGACATCCATGATTTGATCTCATCTCATTGTTTGTTGTGGGTGAAGAATGGGTCAAGGAATAGGTAAAATAGCTTTTGGGGGTGACCTGCTGCTTCTGAAGATCTAGAATCAAGTTACCTGTTGTTCCCATATACAGTTCTGTGGTTTAGATACACAGATAACTGTAAAATAGGAATATGCAGCAAAAACACGGTACCCCTCCAAGAAGGCATAGAATGACAGAGACCTTATGCATTTTATAGCCTCTCCATGGTACTTATAAATTCACCAGAGAAATACATGTTCAGCACTTGTTGAGTGGTGATCAAATATTTCACTGCCCATGACCAACAATCTGCCCTTGCGGGAGTTTAAAACTCCTTGGACAAGAAGTTGGCATTTGGTTTCATCTTTAGAGTAAATCTATAGGTACCACGAACATCTTTTTGAGACCTAAAATGCACAAAGTTGAAACGGGCATGTAACCAACCTTGGCGAAATATCGCATCCTTGCTGCATAAAGGCACCCAGGGAAAACCAGAGACTATTAAATATCCCAAATTCATTAGTTGACTCGTTACTTTGTGTTTCTCGTCCATCTTCAAACTCCTCAGTGTGCCACTCGTAGGGGCTGAATCTGCTGACCAGGAATAAAACTACACTGACCCCAATGTAGGCAAAGACAATGCACATCCAGATTTCATAGGCTAAGGGATCAAGAAACGAAAACACTCCTGGTTTGGACTTCTGAGGCTTCTTGATCATAATTGAGATCCCGAGGCTCATGAAGGGCTTAGAAAAGTCAATCACCTCTTCTCTCACCAGTGTAATAGTTAATGGGGCAATTGCAATATCGGCTTTCTGTAAGGGAAACAAAAGGAGATCAGAATACTTAGAGAGTCATACTTAGTAAGGACTGATGGCCCCATCCCTTCAACTGGAGATGAAGACTAGGTTAGCAAGGAAATGCCAGTGATCACCTTACGGGTAGAGTCCTGAGAAAGGGGAAATAAAATAGCCATTTACTCCCCAAAATATCCCTGCTTTTTCAATATACACAATACACCCATCTGGCTTGACTATGGTAAGCATATCTTTATTCTGAATCTCTATTTCTCTGACATGCCCTTTCCAGAATTAGAACAAAGGATTTGGCCATCTGCTTAAAGGGAGAGGAAACATAAATTATGGTCCTTCTTTCAGTTAATCTGTTTTTTAAATTCTGGTTGAATTTTCCAATCTTTGAAATGTTTATTTCACATGAATATGAGCTTGTTTACCCCCAGTGATGTTATAAGAATCCAGATATATGGACTTTTGGAGGGAAAATATATCAGCAATAGAGTTGAATAGTTTTAATTAAAGTGCAAAAAAAAAATTGTACAATATGTTCTTACCCCATAAACAAGCTCTCCAACCATCCCGTTCCAAATTTTTGTATCTGCGTCCCTGGCCCCATACTTGCCATCCCCAACAATAGTCAACTTGTATTTGAATCCACAGTGTTTGGCAATCTCTGCAGCCAAATCCACACAATAGCCTTCATATCGCTCATTGCCTTCTAGCATTTCATGATTTTTCTTCATCATGACATATGGGGATTCCTGTTTAGAAAAAACTATGCTTCAACTGACTGAAAGCAACTGTGTTCATCATATACTTTAAATTATACCTAGGTAACTCCCAAAGCTCTTATGGGTAGCTGATTTGCTTCTTTGTTCAATCAACTTAACATTTTAGAATTATTCATTAGAAGATATGATGTAGTCATAAGTCATGTAAGGCTATACACATATACATATATGGATATATACATATATATTATATATATGTATATATATATATATATATATACATGCAAATATGTATGTATGTAAAACTTTCCAGGAAAACATCTTTTATCTCACCTCCAAAATAACTACTGTAACTCTTATTAGGATCATTGTAAATATGAAAAATAGAATAGATGTCACACATACATTCTCTTCTCCCATCTGTAAATATGTAGTTTCTAGCTAAATAAGTTTTCCAATACCTTTCCTTTTTCTTTTTCCCCATGTTTTCATCCAATCCCTGATTCTTCTCTTAGGAAAAGAATAACATATGAGCCAGAATTAATCCACATCATCATCAATAAATAAAGGTCAGTAGGTGAAGTGGAAAACAATAAAAGCTTCTGCTCCTCCATTTAAAATTATAAAATGTTGAAGGTATAAAGACTGTTAAAAATCCTCTAATCCAATCTGATCAATTTACAGATAAATAAAGTAATGAAAAGAGAAATAAAGTGAGTTGCTTTAGTATAAGAATAAGTATTTAAGAACAAAACAAGAAATGCTATATTGAGTCAGACCTATGTTCAGTCCAATACTACTGTCTTCCTATTACTGTAACAGCCTTGAGACTTCTGCAGGGACAGTACAGTTACTTCATATTAGCCCAAAAGTTTAAGCAACCTAATTTCTAAATTTTTTTTTAATAATGTTACAAGGATTCCCTATCCATTAACTTGGCTAAGTCTTTTATTATCTTATTCATATTTTTATTTGTTTTTGTTTTTGTTTTTTTTTGGTTAGGCAATAGGGTTAAGTGACTTTCCCAGGGTCACACAGATAGTAAGTGTTATGTGTCTGAGGCCAGATTTGAACACAGGTCCTCCTGAATCCAGGTCCAGTGCTCTATCCACTGCACCACCTAGGTGCCCCTTATTTATATTTTTAGACTGAACAATTTCACAACCATCATCATCATAGTAGTCATTCATTTAACCTCTAACCTTTTAAAGCCTTCATTTAACCTTTAAAGCCTTACAGAAAAGGGCTTTACGTACAAAATCTCATTTGGGCTCAACAACAACCCTGTGTAGGAGAATTTACAAATATCATTGTTATTTACTGATGATGAAACTAAAATTCATAGAGGTTAAATGACTTGCCCATGATCACATAGCTACTAATCATAATACAGAATCAGAACTCAGGTTTTCCTGATTCTAAATTCAGTATTCTGTCTACTATAGCATACTGCTTACCCATGTGTAGAGAATTATTCATCTCCAACCTATGTTCTATTAGTTTTAAGGGATGCCCTCTCCTGCTCCCATAATCTAGGGAACATTCTGTCGTTTTATGCTGATACAAGTGCACATAGATAAAATTCACTTTAACATGCTTTACTGTCATTTATTGCTGTGTTTGAGTGTCCGTTCACTCCTGAGCTCAATATTATGCTAGAATTTGTTGAGAAGGTGTTGTTTGAATGAAATCAGTCCACAAGCATTTATTAAGCGCTTACCATAGATCAAATGAGTGGCACTCTCTATCACTTAAAACATGATACAAACATTACCTACCCATTATAGTTGTTATTGTCATAGCTATGATATGGTTCAGTTGAACCTGATGCCAAATAAAACCCTGTCTTTTGCTTTCTTCCCCCCAAGCCCTTTATTCAGCCACGAAAAGAGGCCCCAAGCGATGGATTTGTAAAATGATTTAATTTTTGTCCCATTTTTAACTTTTATCAAAAAAGAAATAGTGAAGTGCTTAATGTTATGACAGAGACAAAAAAAAAACAGAGTTAATAATTATTTTGCTCGATATCTGAAGGAAATTGGTTTTGTTGTATAGCAGAAATAGACTAAAGGCTATTAGAACACCCATCACTTAAAAAAAATGGTAATAGGGACATTTGCTGAAAATAGAAAGAAATATTGTCCTTATTGGACATCAGGAACACTTATTAGTTTTCCAAAAAGGAACAAAAGATAAGGTTAATTCCCAGTTCACTCTGGGCTGTAGAGTGTGGACTAAATATATCACTCCCTGGAAATATATAGCATAATATAGTGAGAAATTAGGTTCTTTTAATAAATAAAGAAATCAAGGATTCTGTTAGGCTACATAATTATTATAAAAGCAGAAAATGAGAGGGTTCTCCAGAAAAGCCAATATCTGCATCCAGCTATCTGTATTCTTGAGCAAAAAAGGCCAGTCAAATTTCACATCTTGCATAATAGTTCCAGCCAAAAGAAATGTTCTAGGATCACAAATTGAGAACTGGAAGGAACTTTGAATGGTGTTCCATCCTCTCGTTTTGCTGATAAGAAAATCAAAGCCCAGAGTGATTAATTGATGTCAAACATAGAATCTGAACCAGAGTCTTCCTGGAGTCAAGAAGACTTGAGTTCAAATGTGGCCTCAGACACTTCCTAGCTGTGTGACCCTAGGCAAGTCACTTAACCTTGTTTGCCTCAGTTTCCTCATCTGTACAATGAGCTAGCAAAGGAAATTCCAGTATCTTTGCCAAGAAATCTTAAATGGGGTCATGAAGATTGTGGTAAGATGAAATAATAACAACAAACCCAATTCACTATGTCATGTTGGCTGTCATGTCTTCCATCTCTTATTTCTACTGTACAAAGTAAAAGGTGAAAAGCGCTACATTTGGAGTCAGAAGACTCCACTATTATTAACTGCATGACTATCCAATTTTCTAAATCTATAAAACAGGCATATTAATAATCACACTACCATCTATCATGTTTTTATGAGCATTAAATATACAAATATACAAAATTGCAAAGGGCTGGATAAACAAAAGCTGTTGTTAATATATGTGTGTATATGTATGTATATGTATATGTATGTATGTGTGTATGTATATAATATTTGTGAGGGGATCCTAGGTCACTTGATCATATACATTTTGATTGTCTCTGATTTTTTTTCACATGCAGCTACCTTTTCTTCCCAAGTAGGTTACAAGCTTCTAAAGGGCAGCGATGTCCAACTGCAGAGGGATACTTTTGCCTTCTCAGCATCAAGTATAATGCTTTGCACACAAAAAGAATTTGATAATTGTTTTTGGTGTTGATGATGATGATTATGTCATATTTATTATTGTTAACAAGAGCTAAATAATAGAAGTATAAGCAACGAATGTTCTACCCACAAAGGAAAGGGAAAACCAAACAACCACAATGTCAAATAAAGGATGCAAATAATTACCAAGATTGTGGTGACAACAACAGTCTTATTCTCTAATCCAGAGGTGTCATTCCCTGAAGGGATTTCAGTAAGTGTCACCACCATTTTGTCCATTTCACTCCAATATCCAATCTGAAAAAGGTTGCAGGAGGTAAGCATACTGATGAATGACCTTTCTGATAGCAAAGCATTTCAGTACATTCAACTCAGTCTTCCTACACTTAACCTTTTCAGATATTAACTACAGCTTTGTGAATGCAGAAATGCATTCTTTATACACATAACCCTAATAGAAATGGAGAGGAAACAAAAATGAAGAGAATAACATGTGGTCATAGATTTTTATAGAGTTGTGTTGTTCATCTTATTTTCACACACATACATATGCAGAAATACTCAAGCATATTTTTTGGAGGGGGAGCATCTGGAAATATAAATAAAAATTTAGAAAAAATTATATTTTCATCTATACAGTGGACATAGAGACTAAGAAATGCAGTATTTGGATGTTTGCTTACATCGATTGCTCTTTGAAATAACATTCAATACCCAGAAATTAGTAGTCAGGACATGATCATTACTTTTTTTGTCTCATATTTAATTTCTTTGCAGTCTTGGTCTGAATAGAAAAGTATCACAATTCAATTTGCACTTCTTAAAAAGTAAATTAGAGGTTTACAGTACTTACCAGGAGTTGCTGGGCTTATGTTTGGGAATAAACATTGAAAATATCTCTGTACTTTTGAAGACTATTAAAATGTGCGCATTATATATTAAAAGACTATTAAAATCTTTGCAAATATACATATCTGAAACCTCTTGGTTCTGAATCACCTACCTTCCCATATCACATAGCAGAAGACAGCCTTTAAAGGCACTAAGTAATTTACCTTCCGAGGCCCATTAGTTTTGAGCTCCATGATGTTAATTGTGTAATTTATTCTTTTTCCATTCTGGTCAAACTTTATGTTTCCTGAAAGACCTTCCACTTGAACCTACATGAGGTAAAAGGAAAAGGAACACATATAATTTTGCCTCACACACATAATGTTCCCTGATTACTGTTTATGTATTCCCAGGTAAAGAAAAAAAATATTTCAAAGCTTTTCCTTCACTTTTGAACTCTCCTTTCCATAGGTAAGATACAGCTCCCTGCTCGGGGAAAAAAAAGCATGTGATAGAAGTCCAACATGCAGAAGAAATTCTGGGGAACAATATTCTTGCACATCTTCATTCATTGTCATATTAATCTCACCTGTTTTAGTGCCCTTTCTATCTCTACTCCTTGTCCCCAGGGAACAGCAGGGTTTGCAAGACAGTCTCCAGCATTTCCTCGTCTGGAGATTTCAATCCTTTGCTTACGCAGATTACGGAAAGCTTCAGTCATCACCTGGACAGCATCATAAGTCAGAGCAGAAGTATACTGAAAAGAGGTAAATGCATTCCATTAGGACATGGGAGGTCATTGAGAATTTCTGTGCTTTCATGGGGTAGGTTTTATCTACAAAAAATGAACTATATAAAATATAAAATCCCAGCAAGCCAGAAACAGCTGTTGTATTTCACAGAATCATAGAGTGAGAACTCAAAGAGGCAACCTGTATATTTAGCAAGATTGGAGATTGAAAGCTAAAAGGGACTATAGAAACATTTAATTCAACTCCCTTATTTTACACAATAGAAAAAGGAGAATGAGAGAAGTTGTGACTTGCCCTTGGTCACAAAGGTAGTGTGGAAGGATTTGAATGTAAGTCTTTTGGATCTTAAGTGCAGACTTTAGTCCACTATGCCATGTTTCCTGCCAACGCAAACTTAGTGAAGACATAGGATTTTAGAGTTGAGAGGGAACTTAGACAACATCTTATCATTTGATCATAAAAGGGATCTTAGAGGTCACCTAGTCCAATATCTTCATTTAACATATAAGGAAACTGAGACCAAGATAATGGGAATAACTTGCCCAAAGTCAATCAAGTATCAAATAAGAGAATTCATATTTGAACCCAGATCTTCTGACTCCTAAATCAAAACTCTTGTCATTACACCACTTAGTCCAACCCCTGCTCCCCACTTTACAGTTGAAGAAATTGACCCCTAAGGAGGATAATTGATATGTCCAAGGTCACACATGTAGTAATGGAGAGATCAATTATTCTGGAATCAGAACACCTAGGTTTGAATCTTGTCTCTTATGTGTTCTGTCTTTTGGACAAGTCACTTAACCACATGCAGCCTCCTTTTTCTCATCTGTAAAATGAGACAGTTGAACCAGAGGGTCTCAGAAATCTCTTCCAACTTGAGGTCTATGATCCTAAGTAGTAGAGCCAGGATCCTCTGACTTTCATTCCAGGGATCTTACCTCTATTCCATATAATCCCTTTGCCTCCTTTTTACAAATGAGGAAAATTACATTCACACAAGTAAAAAGTGGCACAGCCAGGATTCCAAACCAAATGTTCTTTCTCCAAATCCAAAGGGCTCTTTCCACTACTTTTTTTTAATCACACACAGCTAGAAATGCTATCAAATTCAAAATCTATAACAAAACATTCTAGTTACTGATTTGGGTAGGAGTGATTCAAGATCTACCACTTGCTCAGGTGGGTGGGGGGACTATATACCGTTTATTTCCTTTGTTTCCCTTAATAGTCTAATTCTTTGCTCTAATTCTGGAAGAGTTGGAGTTGAGAGTTGTGTGATGATAGAGTGAGCTAATCACTAATATGCTGTGTTTTGAGGAATGCATAGAAGACAATAACAAATAGATGACATAGATAATAGATAGAAAATAGATGACTAGATAGAAAAATAACAGATAATAGATAGATAGGATATCCCACAAGACCTGAAATTCTTCACTTCCTTGTTCTTTAAATGCAATCTAAGATCTATTTGTTTTCAGCAATTTCTTACAAAGTAAAAAATTCTCTTGTGGGGGTTAAATAATTCACCTTCATTCACCTTCTTATGAATCCTTTTAATCAGATAGCTTTCTAATACTTGGGTGAGATCAGATTAAAGAATGTAGGTTTTGATGGACGATAGGCAGAAATAGATATAAGAGCTCATTTTGAGATTTTTAAGAATCCTGGGGAAGATGGCCTCCAGAGAGTACTGTAAAAGCACTGGGCACCTGTGAGAGGAATATTATAAATTGGAAGAGGGAGATAGGCTGGTATCAAAGAGAAATTTCACCTACTCAGAAATGAAGTCTGGAAAATTTATCAGTTTTTTTTTTTTAAAGACACTACCCAATATTAAACTTAGCAATGTGGATATGATATGAATAGACACACAAGGGGATTATTCCCTCCTATCATTAGCTTAACACTATATTAATTCATATTCATAGAGAAACAGCATGGAATAGTGGAAAGAGCTCTGGGTTTTATATTCCACTTATTCTATTTATCAGCTATGTGATCTTGAACAGTACATTTAAGATCCCTGATCCTCAGTTTCTTCATCTGTAAAATGAGGGGTATGATAATTGTATTTTTTATGTTGTTTGATATTATAGTTATAGACAGAACTCTGATATGACAGGAATCACATAGGCTAAGTGGTCCCAGTGCCCATAAAGCATATAAGCAAAGATAGTTTTTGTACTTTTCTACTGTTAGTTAACTCTGTATGAAACAGTTAATATTTCCACTTCTGAGTGGATATAATTCTTGGCCAACTGAAGCAATCTGAGTCACCCTTCTGCTTCTGCCTCAGATAGCCAACTCAAACCCTCATCTAGTTTTTGATTCTAATTGGGAAACTCTCACTACCCAAGCCTGGCATCCATAAGTGACCCTGAAAACTTCTCCACCACATCTGAGTCTAATTTGGAATGCCACATTCCACATATGGCATTGATTATCTATTCTCTACCAAAACGATTTTTAATATATAAACTTTTCTACCTTAACCCAAACTTTATGCATATCTCCCTGATGCAAGACCATCTTCTTTCTTTCTTTCTTTCTTTTCTTTTTCTTTTTTTTTAGGCAATTGGGGTTAAGTGACTTGCCAAGGGTCACACAGCTAGTAAAGGTCACGTGTTTGGTCTGAGGCTGGATTTGAACTCAGGTCCTCCTGACTTCAGGGCCAATGCTCTATCCACTATACCACCTCGCTGCCCATCTCCCTTGTTTCATGCATCTCTGGGGACAAACTTCTATGTATCTATATTTCCATATTGTGTGTATATATTTGTTTGTTTGTTTTCCTACTTGCTGCTCCACGGTTTGTACTATTGTTTGTACTCTCGTTTGTACTATTTTCCTGAGTACCAACTTCCTATAAATCTCCAAATCCAGGTCTTTTTTTTCCCAACTTATGAATCCAAATAAAGCAAAGGTTTGTACTAGATGAGGGGCTCTTAACTTGGGATCCATGAGCTTACTACTATTGCCACTGTGGCTGCTGCTACTACTACTCCTCCTACTATTACTATTACTGTTACTATTACTACTATTACTACTACCACCACTACTAACTATACCACAGTATAATCTATTTTATAATCTATTTCCTTTATAATCATATGTATTTTATTTTATGCATTTAAAAATATTATTTTAAACAGAAGTCCACAGGTTTGAACAGGCTGCAAAAAGGGGTCCACAACATTAAAAAAAAAAGATTAAGAACGACTAAACCAGATGGATTCTGTCCCTTCCCTTACAAGGGGAAAGAATCTTAAAACTGGACCCAAAAATATTTAGTCATAATCACAGCTCCTGTTTATATCATTAACTAGATGCTTTTCTTTGACATGACCAACTTTTGTTCCTATAGTCCTAGGGTATCATTTCAGATTGATATTTATTATCTTATTCATGAATTTTATGTTAAAAAAGATAGTGACTGGCCATTATAATTAGAAACTGATATTGTAGATTTAGAAGGACCTCCAAGGAACAGTCTATCCATCCAAAGGACCTGAGAGAGGCCATCTACACCAAAGCCCAGGAACACTGAGTGGCTTGTTCAATGCCACATAAGCAGCATTACGTGTGGAAACTCTGACATGAAAAACCAGTCCTGTTTTCAGGTTCAGATTATATAAGTACTTTAACAGCCACCACACTTGGCTCATTCTAAGGTTTGTTCCATAAAACTTGGACTCAGTCTAAAGGCCAAACCCAAGGACTTAGAAGGGCACATGTGACTTGGAGTCTGCAAGTTTCCCATCCCTGCTCTAGGACATCTAGTTTGAAATGTCCAACAGGCAATCAGTTATCCAGGACTGAAGAACAGAGTAGAAACTGAAGATATGTACATGAATAATTTACACAAATATGAAAGTTAAACTCATTTTTTATGACAGCAATGCTGAAAAAAGAGTTTTGTTTTTAATGTTTGCCCTAATTAGCTATGACAAGTATATAATTCTTAAGCAATTTTTGAAAAGATTTATTAGCAAACCTGTCACACTCCTGATTATATTTTTACTAAAACCTTAAGCACCAGGAAAGCTGGCCAAATTAAAAAAGCTTCTAGAAAAAAAATAAATTAATGTTCAAGCACCAAATTATGTTAGATTTAGGAAAGCAGATGGTGAAGTGGGCGTCCACAAAGGATGAATGTGTCCGTTTTCCTTACTCAGGAACTTGTAGTTTAAAGCTACAATAGCATCTAAGTGTGAAATACTGAAATGGGGCAACCTGGTGTCCAGGTGCCCTTTTCTTTTGATTATCACCATTAAAAATAGTGTTCTTCAGTCTTAACTCAAAGTGATCAAGCAATATTCTGCAGAGGTTGGAATATGTAGCAATAGGAAATGCTGAATCCATTTATTCAGTAGGTAAAGAAACAAACTACTAGAAAATGCTGTGAAATTTTCTTCTCTTACTATCTCAAAGAATAAAATAAGCCAACCATATTTCTTAGCTAATTTTGATTTCATCAATTTGAGTCAAGGATGAGATTTCTGCTAAAAGGTTCAAGATTTAGCTTTTAACTAGAGCTAACTTAAGACAAATGATGAAGAGAAATGACCTCCTTGATGATGGCTTTAGCTTTAATCAAAGGAGAGGAGAAGGGAAAGTAGAAGTGGGGAGGGGAGAGGAGAAGAGAATTATAACAAAGAAGTAAAATAAATAACTGGATACAAGTAATCTCTATCACAGGATCATAAATACAGAGCAGAAATAAATGTTGGTGTTCAACTAGTTCAAATCCTTCTTTTCACAGAAGAGGAAACTGAGTTCTTAATATGTAACATTGAACAATGATCACCAAAGTAATTTTCTTTGTGAACTTACACTAGATATTTTAATGGTTTCTTTTAATTATTTATTGACTTTCGGATTCACTTAAATTTCCATTTGGTTTGGAACAAGTTTATGCATAATAGCAATTTTTACAAAAAATATTTTTGTTAGGACAAAGTAAATGATTTTGATGTGCTTAAAATATCAAATACAGTTG